CTGTTGCTCGTCTCACATGCTGGTGGCCTGAAGTGAATCATGATTTGGATCGTTTTGCGAAATCCCGTGCTGATTGTGTGCACAAAACTCACAGACAGCCTTCGAAATGGAATCCGTGGCCAGTATCTTCCGAGTCATGGCAAAGAATACATGTGGATAATTGTTGTCCATTCTTCAACAAGTATTACGCATTGGTGATTGTCGACTCCTATTCCCGTTGCTCAGAAGTGTACTTCACCACAACTCCCAGTTCAGAATTTACTATTCGAGCACTCAGGAAAACGTTCAGTAGAGAAGGGTCCCGCATGCTATCGTGACTGACAATGGAAGTCATTTCACTGCCGTGAAAGTTACTGATTGGTGGAACTCCGTGAGTTGTCGGCATGTTCAAACTCCACTCCGACGTCCGCAATCCAATGGCGCAGCCGAAAATTTTATACGCACGCTGAAGAGTGCCATTGCTTCTTTGAATCCCAGTACATTCGACGAACTGGGCAGAGGCGTTGATAACTTTATGATGCAATACCGTAACGCAGTACATTCAACTACGGGAAGTATGTATCTGTGGTGATTGCTCATGAACTATGATTTCTTTTGTTTTATTAAACACGATATTCTTGTACATTCCGAATTTCCGCTTATTACAGTTCCATTCCGTCGCTGAGTTTTGTCTTCTGATTTCATTTTGAGTCCTAGTTCTGGGTTGGACTATTACTGCGCGGAATCCGATACATGTACAAATTATCAGTCCCTGTACAAGTCACAACAGTGTCCTATGTTTTTCAGCAATAAGTGAGGTAGTTATATGATAAATAACGCGGGGAGTAAAAACGATTGATGAAATAGATGGATCAAATGGGTGGTTTCGTGAGTGACGGATAAAAGCGCGCAAAGTTCCTGTTTGCAAATATGCGTTTTATTGGTGAAACTTTACACAAGTTTTTCGAGGCAGAATGCGAAAGATTGGGCGTTATGTATGCGGTTTTGCTGGCAGAGATGTAGCTGATTTATCCCTTAAGTAGCTCTTTGTAGCCGATCAATGCGCTATGTTGTTCTACCTGGGATACGACCCCGGATATAGCGCAATATCCGATGAGTCGTATTTTGCGCTTGCACTCTGTAAGCCGTGATACTGCGGGTTAACTCTCTACGCTCGTTGCGAGCTTTGTTCTTCATCTGGTCTAATTCTGGGAGTGCAAATTGATGAGATTCGTCGACTGATTTGGTTACTCGTCACCACTCAGCCCTTCTTAGGTGCTAAAGCGATTAAGCCAAAAGTTGCTGATTCTTGATGAAGTCTTTGCTATCTTTGGTAGAAAATGCGTGTGACTCTGGGAACTGACTGTCTGTTCTGGTAACCGAGAAGTCTATTTGTGACAAACATAGTGATTGGAGGAGGGGGTTACCTTCGACACTTACTCTCTGGCGACGTGAATTGACGTGTTGAAGATTTCTGAATGTTCGCCCTAACCAGACTACTTTCTAACGTAATAGTTTTCCAGGTCTTTCGAAATATTGGGTATTTTGTGAAACACTAATACGTTGGACTTTGGAGAGACAGCTGCGAATCAACAAAATTTACTGATCTATTTGTTCAGTGTTTGTTGATTTTATTGTTCATCCCATAAAAACAGTGATAAATTTATAACAATTAGTAGTGATTAAGTAAACGCTTATGCCACAAGCAATCGGTGTACTTAAAAGTAATCGCATCATCTCTGTGGATGGATGGTAACATAAATATGGATTCCAATTGAAAAGAACATTTAGATGTCAATTTGGTATACCCCGTTGTGTTTTCCCGAAGATGGATTCAGCAATTCTATCGGCAATCTGTTCCTTTGTGCAGTCAGTTAATTGCTGTCCAAAGATCTTTACTAACTTTGCTTTGTAACTCCTGTTTTTTCTTTCAGGACAGGCGTTCGTGCTCCCCTTCAATGGGCCCATACCCGTTGCGCCACCCGCAACTCCCGTCCCAACAACTCCTGCTTACTTCACCCCGTTAAACCCCGTGACACCCTTGGAGTTGGCACCTGATCCCGACCAGCCCCATCGGATCACTACTGGCAGCAAAGTCCTTAAGCTGCCTGTGAGATCTGCCCTGTAGGAAGGTCTTACACTTTTAACAGTGTACGGACTCATTTCGACTGTGAGATACATTTTTTCTTTCACCTTTGTATTAACATATGCATGCAAATGAAAAACAAAAATCCTTGCACTATTTGTCAGTTTTTTTCACCATCGTTCATGTTCTTCTATATGAATATATAAAAAACACAAAGGCAATAAAATAAACTTGTCCCTTTTTATTGTGCTTGTTTTCATATAACCAATCAGCTCTAACAAGGGCTGCTTTGACCTTCTTTCTGAAGTTCGCTTTTAGGTTCTGACCTCAAAACTAGGGAGGATACCTCGGTCAGGGGAATGCAGTAAGAACAAAGTTGCCATGCTCCCCCCACACACACACACCACCCCAGCACTAAAAAGGTCTTTTTTGACAGCCCTGGTTAGATTTCACTGGCTCGTGCCCAGTTGCGACTGTCCTCCATTGTTTTCTAATTAAAGACAAATCAAAACAGGACAAGGAGTGAAACAACGACGGGCGTGCAGACGCTTCTAAACGGCACTTTCATTTCACCACATGTCAATTGCGAACCAGCATCCTCTGCCACATCAACTGGAAATGTTTTCAAGGTTGATTCCCATGTTGGGCGGACGTGACCATCCGTCACCCCCCCCCCCCT